CTGACAATAACCTCACATCCTTTGGATTGACAGCTTCCAAAGAAGATGAATTACACAAACCCTTGAATTTAGTGTCAGCCCTATTATGAAGAGCTGTGCTAAAAACCACAGCAACATTACTAGAAAGTCTCTCCCGAACACTTTTCTTTCCCTCCCCATGGTTTCTTAAGCTCACATCATCTTACAAACATGCACTGTGTTGTTTCATTCCTCACTCCTCTTCACTTTTCTGCTCCACAACTTTTTAATGGCATTTTTCACCTCTGCATTTCGGAGGGTGTAGATCAAGGGATTGAGCATAGGTGTGATGATGGTGTAGAACACAGAGACCATCTTGTCTGCTGAAAAGGTGGTGGAAGGGCGCATATAGATGAAAATACACGGCCCAAGGAACAGAACTACAACAGTGATGTGAGAAGTACATGTATAGAGTGCTTTGAGACGCCCTTCAGAAGAGCGTGTCCTCAAAGAAACCAAGATAACAGCGTAGGACACAACAAGAACAACAAAACAACTCAGGGAAATCACACCACTATTGGCAGCCACAAGAACACCAATGATGTAGGTGTCAGTGCAGGCCAGCTTCAGTAAAGGGTGAACGTCACAGAAGTAGTGGTCAATCTCATTGGGCCCACAAAATGGTAGCTGAATAGCCAGCAAGGTCTGCACCACTGAGTGTACAAAGCCTCCCACCCAAGAAGCTGCCACCAGCCAGCCACAGACAGGCTTGTTCACAATATTTGTGTAGTGAAGTGGCTTGCATATAGCAATGCAACGATCATAGGCCATCACTGTGAGAAGGAAGATCTCAGCGCACCCGAAGAAATGGCCTGCAAACAGTTGAGCTATGCAGCCCACAAAAGAGATGGTGGTCTTCTCAACAAGAAGGTCATATATGAGTTTGGGAGCTGTGACAGTAGAGTAACTGATGTCTATAAAAGACAACCAACTTAGGAAGAAGTACATGGGAGAGTTCAGCTGTTCACTTGTCTTTATGGTGATGATGATAAGCAGGTTTCCAAGAATGATGATGGCATAGAAGACCAAGAATAATGAGAAGCACACTTTTGCTACTGTCTTATCTTGTGTCAGTCCACAGAGGATGAACTCCGTCATATTGTTTTTGTTCTCCATAAGCACCATGTAGACAGGACCTTGAGCACAGAAAAGAGACACCAGCTAAGACATTAGACATGGGACATGATCAGTACACAGACTTATGGACCACTCATATATTAAATATTAAGCATATTTCCTTTGCTGTTTTTTTGGGACAGTTTCCATTTAAAGATAATGTTTCCCTCAAGAAAGAACAGGATCTGATACCCAAATCAGAATGTATTATTGAGGTATATAATAACAAGCTTCAATTATTTATTTGAGGAGGGCAGTGGAAATAATACCCCTAAGAATCCTAGTTTTCACCTTTGCCTCTTTTAAAAAAGAAGACTAATTACCAGGTCCCCTCAACACCCACTTTTACCCTATAATGTTGATTTGGAAATAAAAATTGAGCAAAAGAGACAGTGTGGCTACAATTCAAGTCAACACTTTGATCATGGTCTGAGAAAGGTGCCTGAGAAAGCAGCAATTGTACTTTCCTTTTCAGTCCTCTAAAAGATTGTAACAGAGCTACTCCTTATTATCGCTCTGACTGTGATAGACCTGAATAAATTCAGTCACAGAAAGAGCTGGCCAGTGTTTTCTTGGACTGCTTTTCTTACAGTACCTGAATGAACTAATTTGGAGCTAACTTGCATTAATGGTGCATTAGCAGGGGTTTGTACATCTCACCCAGGTCCTGGAACACCTCATAAATACTCCTGTAGTGACACTGGGGTCACGAACGCACCACTGATAACCCCCCTTTACTCACAAACACCCATTAATTCACCTTTGTGGCATTCCCATGCAGTATGCAAGTATCACTAGTGTTCAATGTACACATGAAGGTAGGGGTGACAAACGTGTAATAACCTTGCCTGTGATATCAGCAAGTCCTTTGGGGTCTGAATTCCATTTGACAATCATAGGACACTCAGTTCTTTCTCCTGAGCTCTCTGCCTCACCTCCTGGCTACTCCCCAACGAGGGCACCAGAAGAAAGGGTCTTTAGTGTCTCCATCCCTGTCTCCATGCCCCTCCATGAGCAGAGGGAAGCCACTGTGGGGAAGACCCAAGTGTGTGAGTCATGGCCATTGTTGCCTGGCATGTCCAGCTCAGACAATGTAAGACTGAGCACGTTGGAAATGCTGTCATCAGTTCCTGAGTCCTTTTTGTAACACTGACAACATCTTTTTGACAAATCTTTTTGGAAACGGCATATAACTGTGGGGAGGAAAGCAAACAAGACACCAAATAAAACAAAGGCTGAAAAATTTGTGATTGAGTTTTTTCTAATTCATAAAATGGAACTCACAAAAGTCACTCACCAGAAATGCCTATTTTCAAAAGTAGCTTTTCAGTCAGGCTTGAACAAAAGAAAGGAACAATATCAGAAAACTTACACAGTTCATATTTGCCAGTCTCTGAGAGTTTGCATGCTATTCCTCCTCAATGACCTCCTCTGACCACTTTAAGTGGTTTCATCAGAATGTCTCAGCTGCAAGTTGCTGCTTAGCTGTTGTGAAAGCAGTCCATCTCCCTGCCAATTCTGAAACCTACAGTGGCTGAAAAGAACAGCCTGACGGTCTATCTGCATTTCTCATTCTGCAAAAAACAACTTCCAAGAGCACCTACAAGAACAATTATCTCTCACAAGATGGGGAAATTGTAGCAGAAATATTTAACGTAAATAATGCAGCAGAAGCACAAGACTACCAGGAATAATGAGATCCCAGAGGCATACAAAGTTTTGTCAGAAATTATCAGTGGAAAAGGAGCTAAAAATTGTACTTTGGATAGCTATTAGGGTAGTCTCTGGAGACTGATATTGGAGTGTGGTCATCTAGACTATTGCAATGCACTTGGGTTTGTTTGCTTGTTTGTTTTCTGGCTGACTTTTTAATATTGTCCAGACAGATAGACTTTACTTACTATTGGACATGTATTTCTTCTGGAAGCATTTCTGGTTCAAATGAACATCACACCTGGCTGTTTGCAAGATTTATATTCATCTTACCTTTGCAATCAAATAAATATTATTGGAGTAAAGATGTTTCTTACACAGGACATTTATATAAATTGTGCTTTCTGTCCTAAGCTAAAATTTCTCATATGCGTTCTTATTTCTTGTTAACTTGTTCTTATGATTGTATGAGCCAGAGACTGTTATCCCTTGGACATCTGCTGTACAAATTTGAAACAAGAAGTAAAAAAGGAAATTACTTCAAAGATTTAGAAAGGTTTGTGGTTAGACCTCACTGCTTACCAGGTATTTTTACTAAGATAATGTAGAACACAGAAGCAACTCTGTAGCCCAAATATTAACTTCTTATAAGAATTCTTACCAAAGTGCAGAGAAGCATAATGTTGTTTTCAGTGACACCTTCCATAAGCTATGGTTGAATATTTGTGCAGCAGCACCCACAAGTGAGACATCCAGAAAAAAACTTGGCATTTATCCCCAAAGCATTAAAAAAAATCAGTTTTGAATATATATATATAATTTTGTGTATTTGTGGATGTATATATCTATTTAAAGTTATAAGCCTGAGCTTTGGCTGGGAACACCTTGTAAGCTTGAATCCTATTTAAGTCATGTTAAGGTGTAACACAGGTGCAGGTGTTTAAAGGGAACGTAAGTGAAGAAATAAGAGTCCTTCAATTACCTTTGGATGGCACCAAGATGGTCTTTTCCTTCCTCACTCAGCTGATTTGGTGGTTTCCTGCTGACAGTCTAGGAGCTAGGGTCTCTTGTGGCTCCTCAGGTGGAAAACCCAAGCTGCTGTAGCTTATCACCCTGTGACAGCTTTGACTGACATTGAACTGGTTTGGTCTTTCATCCTTATGTTTCTTCTCTTCCCTCTTGCAGTAGTAGGGGTACCAGCTGTTCCCATGGAAAACACGCTTTTTCCCTTGTGTGGGTGTGTAAATGTGCTCTGTTGGGCTAGGAGTTGTCTTGAATACTGGAATAGTTCCTAAATAATTTGGTCTTTTTCCATTGATACATAAAATAGTGTCTCCAAATGCCTTCTTTGGTGACTCCTTCATTTCTTACAGTCAGCAGGTTGTCTTTCAATTGGATCTATGATTCTGTATTATTCTAAACATTAAAATAAAAAACCTGAGGCAAAGCTGAAGGTTGGATGGTTGGAAGGATGGCTTCGGTGATAGGTGAAGTAGATAGAATTATAGAACAGTTTGGATTGGAAGCAACCTTTGAAGATCATCTAGTCCAAACCCCATTGCCACACAGAGACATCTTTCACTACATTAGGTTACTCAAAGCCCCATCCAACCTGGCCTTGAACACTGCAGGAAGGATATGTTGCACTGGCAGGGGAAGGGGAGAAGCTTCCCCTCCTCTTACCCACATCAGCAACCGACCCACCTAGCACCTATTATCAGGTATTTAACTGCTAGCCCATGGATTCAAGATACCACAAGATGGTTCTCATAAAAAGGTGTTTACTACAAACAGAGAGGGCCCTCTGTTTCCAGTAGCAGGTGACAGTAATACTTGCTTTACCAGCTGCATAGATCACAGAGCAGAAGGAGTTCATCTGAAAGTTTATACCTGAGTCACGGCATGCTCTATCTGAACAAAAATTTCAGTATTTTTGATAGTTTTTATTTAAACACTGGTGTTTCAATTAGTGCTCAGGAGCCCCAGGCCTGGGCCTGCACTAGTTGACAAGGGAATACAAAGGGAATGTCTGCTTGTCACAGAGTTCACAATGTCTTTCAAATCAAAAGATGAACCTTCAGTGTCTTCCTAATTGCAACAGGAGCTAACAGCAAACAGTTCTTTGAAAGGCAGTTCTTGGAGAATTTTCACAAAATAAATTGTAGTGAGAGATGCTTGAGTTTCTCCGATCCTTTGGAAATGTTACCACAATTCTACACCTTCCCATTTTCACTTCCCACTTTTCTACCCCACAGTTTTCTCAGGGCACTCTTCACCTCCTTATTTCTTAATGTGTAGATGAGTGGGTTCAGCATGGGTGTGATGGCAGTGTAAAACACTGACACGGTCTTGTCCTCTGACAGATTGATGGATGGACGTGTGTAGATGAACGTGCATGGCCCAAAGTACAGAATCACCACAGTGATGTGGGACCCACAGGTGGAGAGGGCCCTGTGCCACCCCTCCGAATTTTGACTTTTCAAGGCAACCAGGATGACAATGTAGGATATGATCAGGATGAAGAAACAGCTCAGAGTTATCATTCCGTTGTTGACAATGACAATGATGCCCACAGCATGGGTGTCAGTACAGGCCAGTTGTAGTAGGGGGTGGACGTCACAGAAGTAGTGGTCAATTTTGTTAGGGCCACAGAAAGGGAGCTGGGAGGTTAGAAGGGTCTGCACTATGGAGTGCACGAAGCCTCCTACCCATGAGCCGGCCACCATCCAGCCACACGCGCGCCTGGTCATGAGCGTGGTGTAGTGGAGAGGTCTGCAGATGGCAACACAGCGATCGTAGGCCATCACTGTGAGGATGAAGATCTCTGTGCAGCCAAAGAAATGTACCCCAAACAGCTGCGCTATGCAACCCATGAAGGAGATGGTTTTATTTTCAACAAGGAAGTTGGCAATCATTTTGGGAGCTGTGACAGAAGAGAAACAGATATCTAGAAAGGCCAGGTAGCAGAGGAAGATATACATGGGGGAGTTCAGACGTTGACTTCTAATTACAGTGATAACAATGAGCAGATTTCCTGCCACAGTAATCATATAAAATAACAGAAACATCACAAAACATATTTTCTGCACTCCTTGGTTCTCTGAGAGGCCCAGAAGAATGAATTCCTTCACACTGCTTGCATTCTCCATGTTAATTTATTGGGTGGTGATATGCAATGCACAACCTAGGCACATGGAAAAATAAATACAAATGATTCATCAGGTTTTTACATTATTAAAAATGAATTATTTAACAGAAGTGCATACACACTAAGAAATATATAGGATTAGTATTATGATTATGAGGTGGTTTTTTTGTTGGTTTGGTTTGGTTTTTCCCATGCTCTGTTATATGTTCCTCCATCCTGGTCATCCAGGATTTAGAAGGATGAATCTATGGCTGGTGTGCTAAGGACAAGGCCAGAGTGTTCACCTTGAGCACTACAAGGGCTGCAGATCTTTAAGATCATGGTTGCTCTCAGTGTAGACCAAGTCCATCTTTGTAAAAACAGTGCCTTTAAGAACATGTGGAAGTATTCCCTGGAATGCTGATTTATTTTATAAGTAAAAATGATCTTTGAATTGCTGTTCAGAGGGGAAACTAAACCATCCACAGAAAAAAAAAATCTCTTGTGTATATACATTTTGAAATATAAACTTGCAGCTTCATGGACTAAACAATGAATTCTGTGCAAATTACCTACCACGGTGAAAACAGCACAATTTCACAGAGGACTTACTCTAGTATTTAGCTTGCTCTAAATCTCAGATAAGTTCCTTTGAGAGGAAGGAACTTTCCAGATCTTCTGTCACAGCATTGTATGAATTTTACTTTACACTGATTTGTGATACACTCTGAGGGATATTCTCAAGGGTTAACTTCTCTTTAGTGAAGCTAGTTTAGCTGATGGACAAAGTCTCAATATAGGAAGAACAGCTAAAGTATGGTCCTTTATGGAACCCTTTCTTTTTCAATTGACTAGGAGGAGCCTAAGTAAATTAACATCACCAGGGTAAAGTTACCTTCAGAGAATAATCCTTTTTGTGCCCTGAAAGTAGCTCAGAGCTTTCCATAATGCCATCCCTTTTTTGTTTGTTTGTTCTGTGGCTGAACTCCTTATCTCTAGGTGTTTCTACATCTCTAGTGTGTCTTTTCAGACATGGTCACATTCCAGTGTGAATGTGGGACTCCTTTGGTTTGACCTGTTCCAGCTATAGCCCCCAGAGCAGTACATGTCACTAGTAAATAAATAATCTATATCTTTCGACAGACTTAATCCTTAGCATTACCAACTTGCCATTATCCACCCAGATATCAGAGTTCCTTTGGTAAAAGAAGCCTAGAAACCACTAGATTAAACTTTTTAGAGAGTTTAACAAAAAATAGGCACCTCTAATGAACAAATTATCAGCTGTATGGGATTCAACCTTGTATCAAAACATCCCCAGCCAGCTGCTGTTAAAAATGGCCATTGCAAGTCCTGCCCAATGAAAACACAAGCAGTTCTCCCTGTTTGTGCAGGTGATCTGAGCAAATCTGTGAAATGATTCAGTTAATTCAAATGATCTAGCACCTATTTAAAATTGCAGCAAAATCAGGAACTCTTGCGCAGGCAAAAACTGATCAAACATCCACAGGAAACACTGAAATGAAGAAAACCAAAATTGCTCTCAAACCTACAAAGTAAAGCCTAGAGAGGAAGTTGGGAAAATTAGGGACTTTTCCTGTGCTTACAGTTATACTAACAGTGGTTGAAAGATGTTCAAGAAGTGGGGTAAAATTTACATGGATAATTTTCTGATATATGGTCAAGAAAAAAGAAAAGATCAATGAGAAAAATATGACATCAATTTTCTACCTACTCTCACCAAGTTGTGATCCTTTTCATCCCTCTTCTTTTCACTTAGAACAGACATAGTTTTCTACAGAAAACAAAGGACCAAGTGGGTGCGTATTTATGGCTGGGCAGTAGCCAGTGGAAGAGAAGCAGCTGGGCTACATCTAGGCCAGAGCAGGACTGGAGGCAAACTCCAGTCTCAGTGTCATATTTAGGCAATCAGTGGTTCAGAAAGGTGTGACCAAGAGATAAATTATCAAGAAAAACTATATTCCTGAATAACAGCACATGGGAAGCTCCTAAGCTAAAAACGAGGTGTATATTTTGAAAGGATTGTAAAGCTATGACCCATTCACCACAAGACTGTGTGTCCCTCTTGGCAAGGGCCCTGTCACCACCACCAAATTGCATTTCATCTGCCTCATTCTGTCTCAGTCACTTACACCATGTAGGCACCAGTAGCTGAGCCAGTCATGTGCACTCTTTCTTCTGCCTTGGCAGGGCAATTCATGACCAGCCTAAGGTGTCTAATTAAAGATTGATGAATTACATGCTGGAGGTGCCTATTTCTTTCTGTTGACTCCAAGAAAATGACTGAATAACTAATTCAGAAGAAGCTTCCCACACAGAAATACTTCTAAAAGTATCTTTTCAGTGAGAGACTATAGGTACATGATATAATGCAATCAACTGCAAAATAAAATAAATACAATGTGGTCTGCTAACATTTCAAAAAGGATGAGAAATTGCACCATCTCCTTATTGCAAGTGTTCTTTCCTGAAATCTCAGGTGGTTAATGGGAAACAGAATAACAAAAGGACCTAACCTGGGTCTACAGAACTAGCTCTGCCTGCTTCCAGCCAAAGATAACTGTAGGCAGTTGATAACTTTAATGATAATTTCTTCTTGTACTTTCACACTTGTTCAAGAAGGGAAACAAAAAAGGAAAGGAGATTGGGAAAAAGAAAGAAGAGAGAAAACAAGAAAAGAAAATAAGAAATTTAACAAACAAACAAACAAACAAACAAAAAAGAAAATAAAGGAGAACCTGGAAAACTTACCTCCTGTGTGTTTGGAGATGTACTTTTCTGTGTAAGGGCTATATGATTTTATCTCCCCAACACCTGCCTTTCCTGGTAGGAATGTGTTAGAGCACAGAGTCTTTAAAGAACATAGAATAGCTTCTGGAAATCTTCCGACACTTGCTTAGGAGGTGTCTTTTACTGTATAATCCCATTTAATTTAATTTACTGTACCACAAGTGTATCTTGGTATTTTCTACCTGTGTGAGAACCGCTTTGATGGGCTGTCTGGGTAGTGTATCCTGGCCTGGGTGTGCTGAACTGTTCATTCACAACCCAGCAGCAGAAAGAAGGCTGAGAAGAAAACTGCTTAAGTAGCACTCTTTAACCCTCTCCAAGGAAATCTCCCACCTCAAGGGCTCCTGGGGCTGGAGGAGGGAGGTGTGGAGGCTTAATGAAGGGAAGGCATGAAAGGAAGGGGCAAAGGAGGAGAAAATAATTCTGTCCTCACCAAAAGGTTTAAGCAAACATATATTAAAGAAATACCCATCAGTCAGTGATAATGACATTATGAAGGCATTTCAGATTTCACCAGTAGAAATAACAGCCAATGGATTGGCTGAATATTAAACTGGACAAGCACGTGCAATGACCTAGTCCAGGTAACCCTTTCCAGAGTCTTTCATTAAGCCATACTTTATGGTTTTCCCAAGTGTAGAGGCCCATTAGGTCCACTGCTTTGCCTTTATAGAATTGTGAGTAATAAAACAGTAATTTTAAACCATTGTGTATCCCAAAAAGCAAACACAAAAACCACAAATCTTTAAAAAAAAAGTCAGAGAGATTTCTAGTAGTAAGAAGAGAAGTACCATGCTCTGGGGCTGGTAGAGTTACCTGACACAGTAGTCTTTTAAAGGGAAAATCAGGCACATTTCTCTCAGTAGTGGTTAACATTAAGTTTTCAGAAACAGAAGATGGCCTGGGTTACCTCTTGATGACTCTTCAGGTCCTATTTTGCATGAAATTTCATCATTGGCAACCCAATGAATAAAGCCTCTTGCAAGAACTTGTAAGTTTTAGCAAAGGTTGGCAAATTACAGAGTATGTAAAAAAAAATCCTTTTACAAATGGGGAAACCAAGGGAGGAAGTCAGCTATTTCATGCCTATGGAAGTCAGCTGAGTTGAGTCCTTGTCACTCTAGGCTTTCCTATGGAAAGAAATACATCTCTCCAGACATTTGTTCACCTGATCTACCTCAGACCTGATTTTAGACGGGATTAGGTATGAAATAGATATTTAGATTTTGAACAAAATTACTTAGGGCAGGCAAAGGCTGCATCAGTGTTACACCCAATGGCTCAATGTCCAAGTGGAAACCAGCAGCGAGTGGTGTCCCTCAGGGGTCCATACTGGGACCAATACTATTTAATATCTTCATCACCGATATAGACAGTGGGATTGAGTGCACCCTCATCCAGCTTGCAGATGATACCAAGCTGAGTGGTGCAGATGATAAACTTGAGGGAAGGGATGCCATCCAGAGGGACTGTGACAGACTTGAGGAGTGAGCTCATCAGAACCTCGTGAAGTTCAGCAAGGCCAAGTACAGGGTCATGCACCTGGGTTGGGGCAATCTCCACTATCAGACTAGAGGATGAAGGGATTGAGAGAAGCCTGCAGACAAGGACTTGGGGATACTGGTGGATGAAAAATTGAACATGAGCCAGCAACATGCTCTCACATCCCAGAAAACCAACCATATCCTGGGGTTCATAGAAAGAAATGTGACCAGCAGGTCAAGGGATGTGATCGTCCCCCTCTACTCCACTCTGGTGTGACTCTGCCTGGAGTCCTGTGTCCAGCTCTGGGGTCCTCGGTACAAGACAGACATGGATCTCTTAGGGCAGGTCCAGAGGAGGGTCATGAAAATGAACAGAGGGCTGGAACAGCTCTCCTATGAAGAAAGGCTGAGAGACTCCAGCCTGAAGAAGAGAAGGCTCCTCAAGACCTTCTTGTGGCCTTTCAATATATAAAGGGGATCATAAGAAAGACAAAGGAAGGTTTTTCAACAAGATATATAGTGACAGGACAGGGACAATGGTTTTAAACTGAAGGAGAGTTGATTTAGATTGGACACAAGGAAGAAATTTTTTATGACGAGGACAGTGAGACACTGGAACAGATTGCGCAGAGAAGTTGTGGATGTCCCCACCCTGGAATTGTTCAAGGTCAGATTGGACAGGGCTTTGAACAACCTGGTCTAGTGAAAGATGCCCCTGTGGAAGAGGGTTGGACTAGATACTCTTTAAAGGTCCCTTCCAACCCAAACCATCCTATGATTCTATGGAATCTTGCTGTCAAGAAGAACCTTGTCTTTCTTAACTTAAAACTTCTGTGGGCACAGGTGAATGTATGAAATTAAACACAATAAAGGAAATGGATGTGCTAATTCGTGCACCTGTTCAACTCAAACTCATCACTCCTCTGAAACCTACTTTGTGTTTTTAGCCTCTGACTTACGGGCGTCAAAAAAGGAAATGTTTCATCCACTGCCCCTTAATTCGGTTCGTTGTCATTTCTTGAAATTTAGAATGGCCAAATAACAACCAAGGTAATGTAACAATCTACTGACACAGAATGTCAACAATCCATGCAGTGAAAATAAAAATACTCAAATTAATAATGAGGTTAAATACTACTCTGGGTGAAAATTGTCCTCTAAATTAAATATCATCTTACACTGTAGCCTGGAGTCCTGGCCAGGTTAATAAAGGTTAACAGTAGTCACTATAGGAAACAGACTATTGGGTAAGAAAGTAAAAACAGTCTTACAATCTTTGGGAAAGGAAGAGGAACAACAAATGACAGGAAAAGCTAAAGATGAACCCGCAGGTATCTAGCCTGCTAAGCTATTTGGGTCAGATCTGCCAGTTTCTGCACCCACTGGCACACATGGCAGCAATTTGGCTAGCATCACACTCATCTCCTTTTGTTTCCCTAGCCAAATGGAATAGCAGAAGTGACTTTAATGCACAAGCCCAAATCAAGAGTTGCTGCTATCTCCTGTTGCAAAATAGTTTCCTATAAGAATGTGCTTACTGCCAGGAAAGGAGAAAAACGTTTTCTCCGGTTTCACGCCACTTCCTTTGGCACGTGGATCTGGACACTGTGGTGGTGGTAGCTCATGCACATGAAGGGACTGGGTATGGTGAGAAGATGAGTGAGGTGTTGTGGATGGGTAGTAAATGCTGGCAAGGGGCTGTCTTGATAGAGACATGAGGTGGTGAAGAGGTGTGAATACGATGGTAGGCAGATTGGGGCTGAGGCGCTGTTTTGGGGGGGAAGTTGTGAAACTGGAAGTGGAAAGCACCTGCTGGAGGCAGAGTCTTGAGGGCTTTTGTGAAATCTGAAGTGCCTGAGGTGTGGTGAAGGACAGTGCTGAAAGCCAATATGAAATGACAGTTAATACTGTGGGGCATGAAATTGCTTTGAAAGAGATCCTGACATCAGAATGGGAATTGTGTGCTGAAGACAGCACAAGCAGAGGTTGTGCAGTTGGAGGTGGAGGTGTAGTAAGGCTATGGAGTTTGCGTGGACCCTCTTCCAGGAAAGGTTGTGTGAAGCACTCAGAACTAAGTACCATGGTAACTTTTGTTGGGAGAGACCGTGGGTCAGAAGAGGACACTCTGTGGTGATAGGAGCGTCAAGGCCACTTTTGCAGGGACAACAGGTCCTGGGGGAATGAAAAGTTGTGCTGAGGGAGGTTGTGAAATCATCATCAGGTGTTGTGGAAGAGGACTGACAATTTCTCAGTCTATGTGATCCTGAGCAGCAGTAAGGCATCCTCTTCAAATGCTGTGAAACTAGAGCATCCCAGGGACGTGAGCAGGAAACAAAACATCAGCGCAAGAGGCAAGGTATAATTTTGCTTTCGTTGTATCGTGAGACTGGCTGAAGAAGGGAGAAGCAGTAAAAAAAAAACATTTCCAGAGCCATGAGAGTGATAGGTTCTGTATAAAGAGGAAAGGGGGAAGTGGTTCACATAGAAGTGACCACACACAGCAAACTAGATATTTCCCCAAGAGAGTGATTGGCTGGCTGCTGGATGTCACGTTGGAAAGACCGTGGCTTTTTAAACAGTGTCGAACTAGCCCAGCATTACAGTATGACACAAGGATATTATCTGGACTGTATGGCAAAGAATTCAGGTGACAGTTTTACTCAGGAGATCCATACCAGGCAGCTTCTGCAAATCAGTCACTGAAAGTCCAAGGAACTGAAAAAAAGGTAAGAAATTCCTCGATGGTATCTTTTCCACAGCACTCTGTCTAATGCTTTCTGCCATGCTTTTGGAGAGATGGTAAGAAAAAAATGTTTTCTTCTGATGGTTAGAAATTCACTATAGGTAAGAAATTGTCTTGATCATTTTCAAGATAAGGATAGCTTCATTCTGAGGACCCTTTTCCATGAACAAGTGCTACTGAATTGCTATAAATACACCTCTCTAATATACGATGTCATTATTCAGAGACCTTGCATTAGCAGTTTTGGTCTTAGCTAATCTGATCACTTAAGATCAGTCAAGAAAATACAACAGCACAACTTTCTGTACATAGTCTAAAATGTCTTTATGTTGCAAGGTTGTTCAGACTGACATCTGCCACATGGAACTCAGCAGTCAAACCACAGGAAGGATGTTAGACTCTGCTGCTGTTTGATGAAAGCTTTCACTAATTAGTTTCATTAAGGAAGTGGACTTATGTCTTAAACATACCTTGGACACAACAAAAAATCAGTCTTTCGAAGGCTGTACAATAAATAAATGAGAACTGTGACTTTTTCGGTATTCTTTTCCATGGTTTACAGAAGTCTGAGAAGGATTTCTTCACTTCCATTACAGCGGAAGGCAAAATTATTGATGTTTTGTCATTTACCCACAGGTTGTCCATTACAGCCGCATCTGTACCTGGCAGTCTTGATGCATATATGATCAATGGCACAGGGCAATGTCATTTAACATTAGGAAATATGCTTGACAAGCTTAAGTTAGACAGCTAATCACCTGTCATTGTCTGAATGCCCAGTGGAGAGAGATGCAGCTCTGGAGGACAGGATCGATCGCCTTCTGGAGATGACTGCAGCAGGGAGGTTGAAGACCCGCTTTCCTAAAATGGCCACCAGGTCAGAGGGATGAAATGGGCTTAGTCAGACCTAAATGTTCACGTCCTCTTCAAATCAATTAGAAATTTGCTTCAGGTTACACAGATAGCTTGTGGCAAAGATAGTGCTGCACTGGGTCTTCTAAAGACTAGGAAACCACTTAACCCCTGGGTCTTCCTTTCTCATCACATCAGAGTTGGTTCACAGAATGAGAGGCTGCTTCAGCTACTTTCTACCATGAATCAAGGTCTGATAATTTGATGCCACCCTAATAATAAGTAGCGAGGAAGGGAAGGAACAAAGCCATGAAGCTGTAACTTTTCAGTTTGCTTGCTACAGGTGATCAGAGAAGAGGTAGACTTGCCAGTGATGTTGTTCTCCCAGTATGCTGCTCTCCCTAGATAGGGAAAGAGCGTGTGAGTTTGAACTCAGGGATGTTCCTGTTGTGAAACTGTGCTACAACAGAGATCCTGTGCATTCTGAGGCAGATGATGGGATATTTGTTTTCCATAGTCCCTTCCAGTATGTATTAAAATCCTTTCTTTAGAGACCACTTGTTTCTTTAGAGACCATTGGTTGCAATGCGTCTGCAGCCAGCAAAGACTGTGCACCTACCTAAGACACATATCATAACCGTTGGAGTAGCCCATAAACCTCCATTAATTCAAATGGCAGCTTTAAAGGCAATGTTAAATGAGATGTTTGCATTTTTAATGGAGAAATCTAGGTGTAACAGTCACAGCTGGATTCCCAGCCAAGCACTCCTGGCATACGTGCCTTCCATGGACTAATGCAGCAAGATTGTCTCCACTGCTCCAGGCCATAAGCTGGCCAAGGAAATTACCTGCATCGCGCATTTATCTGGCCGCTATCCATGCAGCACTGAAAAAAGTGTGTCTGGGGTGCTGAGGTGAAACAATAATGATTCAATCTGTCACATTTCATGTGTTTATGGAAGCCTGTCTCCATGTATGCTGCAGCGTCGCACAGAGAGAGAACAGACTGTTCGTACTGGTTAGACTGTTCAATGATTCACATCTTCCCAGCTTTCCCCATTTTGACTTGTTCCTCTCTTCTTTTTAACTATCTTCTGCTGTCTTTCATGACACTTCTCTCCTTCTCATGTCAAAATTAGTAGTTGGTGGGGAGAGGAAAAGAGCTGTAGTGTTTGACCTCATCAGACAAAAAAAAAAAAAAAAAAGAAGGTGTGAAATATATTTTTGTCTTCTTTATTTTTTTCAAGATTCTCATTCAGATCCCAACATCATAGGGGAAGAATCAGGGTGAAGTGCCTAAGGGAATGGGGTGAAATAATTATTCGAGCCATAATTCCAATGTCCTGAGAGACTCAGACATTTTGTCCCACATATGATTCTTACAGTTCCCCTCTGCGAAGGAAGTTATTAAGGGCTGACTCTGTCAGGCTGAATTGTTTATTGTCTGTACATAAGAGCTAAAGAGAACAAACCAACCACATTAAACTACACTTTATTAAAATAGAAATCAGTCATCAACATAAAAACCTACCAGATATTTTGAGTACTCTCTACCATGTTTTCTGGGCATATGCATAGGACAAAACTAGATCAGTTTTCATGCTGATTAAACTTGTATGCTGCTTGCCTACAACTTTCACACACTTTTGACATGATTTGCCTCACCTAATCCTAGCTAAATGAAGCAAAGACAATTATCCTAGAGTTGTTAATGCTGGGTTCTCTGTTTATTTAGACAAGAGGTACTTTTCAGACATGATTAACCTTAGCTTTAATGGCTTTTTAAAGATATTTGTTTCCCAATACTGACTGCAAAAAGGATCCTCAAGAAATTAATTTTACAAAACGAAGAAATATACTGCAACCTAGCTTTTCATATAAGTCGTATAGAATTTGGTTTTAGATACAGTGCTTTGAACAACATATCAAAGCTCTGTGCTCCAAGTCCAAACACAATAATCCCTCCCTAAATCAAGCTCTGGCCACAAAGAGATGGAACAAATCCAGAAACAACACCAGGTCACCATGAGGGAAAGTCACACTGAAGTTACCACTTCTTTACTCTTTGCTTACAGGTCTGTCTGAAATCACTCATAATGAATACTTCAGTTACATCAATCCTCCTTCCAACTCCAACCAGCCAGACTCATGGGACTAATCAGAGCGGGGCTGTGGGAAAGGCAGAGCCATCCTACGCTGTCCTCAAGTTCATGGAGAGCTTCTGCCTCATCAGCGCTGCCTGTGGGATGGTAGGAAACGGCATGGTCCTCTGGTACCTCGGCTTCCGAATCCGGAGAAACCACTTCACTGTCTACATCATGAACCTGGCTGCTGCTGACTTCGGGTATCTCCTCTGCATCGCCATTGAGACGGTTCAGTACCTCATGCAGTTCAACGTGGGGGTGAATTTTACCATATTCCTCTTCCTGGATCTTTTCATGTATGGGACCGGCTTGTATCTCCTGACCACCATCAGCATTGAGAGGTGTCTGTCTGTCCTTTGCCCAATCTGGTGCCGAAGCCACCGCCCAAAGCACTTGTCTGCCATCATCTCTGGCCTGCTCTGGGGTCTCTCCCTGCTCCTGAACACGCTCGGGTATGTTTTGTGCACCATTCACACCCCTGGCAGGAGCTGCAATCTCCTCCTCATCACCATCGGAGCCTTGGACTTCCTCTTCTGCACGCCCCTCCTGTTGCTCTTCAGCCTGACCCTCTTCCTCAGAGTCAAGTGCAGCTCCCAACACTTCCGAACAGGCCGGCTCTTCACCGTCATCATGCTCACTGTCCTCTTCTTCCTCATTTTCGCTGTGCCTCTGAGCGTCCTGATCCTCTTTGACTTCTTGGGCTACAAATTTCTCTACTCGCCGGAGATCGGCTTTGTGCTGTCCTGTGTGAACAGCACTCTCAACCCCGTCATTTACTTCCTTGTGGGGAGCTACAGGGACCGGAGAATCAAGTTCACCCTCAGGCAGGCATTCCAGAGGGCCTTTGAAGATTCAGCAGATGACAAATATGAACCAGAAACCCGTGACACAATAACTATGTCCTCCTAATACCCTGCTGTGCCTAACAGTAACACTGGTCTGGAGCTGAGAGCCGATAATTTACAGAATTGAAGAACTCTGAGGTATTGGGGAAGGTTTGTCGCACCTAACCTTCAGTATCTTCATTTTAGATCTCTACCCTTTAGCTAGTTATTTTAAGCTCCATCTGTGGTCTTTGAAAACACATAAGCACCTGGACTACAGAATTTATCTGACCTGTATTAGGACCACATTCAAAGTGTCTATTTCTTTCCAGTGGCCATTAAATGATTTCAATCTGATAAAGTGAAATGTTGTGGTGTCTGCATTTCATCAAAGGAATCCTACTCAGAATTTGCAGCTTACTCAATAAATGTCTTTCAGAGCAAAACAATATCAAATTCATAAATTCTCAGTCAGTAGTTACTCAGACCTCTGAAGATGAGATGGAAATCAATCCTCCTCCTGTTGAAATCAGCCATGGAATTCCTGGGAGGAGAGTCTATCTGTCTCACTTAATTTTAAATACCCGTATCTCAGCAACACATGCAACCTTTTGCAGCTCACAGAATGCGTGATTCTTCACTTCCTAATGTGAGAATTTCAAATAGTGAAATGATTCATGCCATAAAAGTTTATTTCTTCTATTAACTAGGGAGGTTTCCATTCCATAGAGTTGTGATGTAGTAGAAAAGGGCTCCAACCCCTATCAACTTGCCTTACAACTTTATGCAGAGTTGCATGCTCACTTTTCTTGTGTTTCAAGAAAAGCAGGGCTGGAGTTGTATATTATTTTAGCTTCCTCCTGTCCAGGACAGAGTATCTATATCTAACTACAGCATGGATTGGGTTGTTATTTCTTCCTTTAAGAAGGACAGATAAGAACCTATGTCTTCTAACATCTCCTCTACCAATAGAAATAAATTGAAGGATAAGGGAAAAAATAGGAAACTGAAGAAAAGTTAATAAATACCACAATTTGCAACAAATTATTCTCTAGACCCAATACCTTAAGACAAAAGATGTAACTATTTGAAGCGCTGTAGTATCAGACTACATAATATTTGCTCTTTTAATCTAAATTGATAGAATGTAACATGGATAATTTTCTTTGAGAAACCTTACAGATTTCCTCTTCACGCCTTCATCTGCAAATGTTTTCCTGAAAGGAAGCTGCATTCTTCTATTGCCTATTATCTTTTTTCTGTTCATTTACCTTTTTATTAATTTTGAAAAGCATCACTTAAAAAAATAGTGGTTCACCCTAATGTCTGTAGTTGCTTTTTGCTTTCTGTTTACAGTTTCTGAAAGCTGAAATTTGAGTTCCATTTCTACTATTCTTTAATTTTTAATGCTATTGTTCTGCAAGGTACATATAGTTGATTCAGATTAGGATTGTGTCATCAATTATTTTTTGTAAGGTTTTTTTTCTTCTAACTTCTACTGCCGAAGGGAAGAGAGCATCCATTTGTCACAAAACATGTTAAAATGTTTTCCTTTTAATATCTGTAATGACTTTGTCATTGGGAGAACTGAAATATTTCTGTTATTATTAAAAATGTCAAAAACCTTTTTTAAAAAATGAAAACAAATTGTATTTAAAAACATTATTGTGCTCAGAAAAAGCCATCAACTGGTAAAAACATACAGATTATAAAATGTGAAAAATTTTCCATCCTGACAATTTGCCCTTAAACTTACCCATCATGAAAACAATGCTGCATTAAATGTGGACACGTTTTACACATCACATTAATGTGCACACTTTACATCCAACCCTGGACTTTTAAAAGATGATAACTGCATATAAAACACCATCATAGACACCCTTAATCATCCATGATAAAAGACAATCATTCTCAGGGGTGGCATCTGCCAGCTATTTGCAGTGTATATCTCCTATGGCCCAAAAGAAGTCAGTGATAGGATCTGATAGGAGATGGGGATCATTTTCAGGCTTTTACACCCAGAATTAACACCAAAATAGCCAGCCCAGCCTGCCAGGAAGAATGTCCTCAGCATCTGAACTAAGCTTGTCCTCTGAATTGCTCAGTATCTCTCTGCAGGGATGCCAGGGCATCCAGAAGAGCAGAAGTCACACCTAAGGAGAGTGCATTCCTCAGGGGCCACCAGCCCCCTGGAAAAAAACCACATTCCTGCTTCCCTGGGCACAGCTGAGACAAGGCAGCCCGGGCCATAAGCGTTGAGAGTGCTTCTCAACAGGGTCCATGTGCCTGCAAGGGACAGCGGTGCCTGTTACCTGAGGGCAGCAAACGTAACTCCACCCCTCTAAGGAGTCCCTAGACACCAGAGTCTGAAATACTCTTTATTTTCTCATTGCTTTCAGCAGAAGGCACACATATTACCGTTGGTTTGTCTGTGGTGCAGTTAAGGCCTGGAGAAAGGGGTGTGAATGGGCATGTGGATGCTCCAGAACAGTCCAGTTTTCATCATGTGCAGCAGAGTGAAAGACTCTCCAGTCTTTGCCTTGATTCCCTTCCCCAAGCTTCTGTCCCTCAGTATTTATCCCCACCCTCCCCTTCAAGCAGCTATCCCATTCTCCATTCCAAGCTGGCTTTGTCTTTGGAGTCTTGGCAGGATTTGGGATAAGATGTTGCGCAGGAAGTGAATTTTGAAGAAAACACTGGGAAAAGGGATACTGTCCCTCAGACTAATCCAATCTAAACCAAGTTTGTTTTTCCAAGAAGGGCAGAACGAAAGAGAATACCATTCCTCTGAGAACATCCCACAATCTCTACTAGCCACTCATTTATACATCCCTAGCATAACAGCATTTGGCCCCAGTACAAATGTGCAAAGTGCCTTTCACAGATGCAAGCAATATCCCAGAGCATCACCAGCAATGGAAGCCCTGGCAGGTAATTTTCTCCCCACCTACTGTAGGAGCAACCAGAGAAGTGGAGCAGAAATGTGAAATTACCTCATAACATAAAAGAAACTCATTCTCATCTGCTGCTGACTTCATCCCATCCTCCCCCTCTGCATAGTGAAAATGCTCCTTCCTGACAGCACCTGCTTCATTACACCACAGAAGACACAAACCGAATCTGCAGACTGAAACGTCTTCCCCATCTTTTCCACAGAAAGTGTTTCCCATAAGATCCAATGGGATAAGTTATAAACCAAGAGAAAGATACTCTGAGAGCTCAATTCAGCTGCACAGGGCAGAAGGTAAACGTTTGAGGACTGGGTTCAGAAATCCTCACCATCCACACATTTTGCAGTGTTCTTTGTCTCTGCTGTTCCATTTTCTGCTCCTTTGTTGAGCATACAGGCACACAGAGCCACTATAGTCACACCTTCCCCATCTCCTACCGCTCTCTCTGTAAGCAGCAATTTTTTCTTCTGCTTATTTTTCTTTACTTTGCTGAACAGTCTCATTCTTTTTTCTTCTGCATGGATGTCACACTTAGCTAATGTCCACCTAACCAAACTCCTGCATCGTTTTACCCATCCTCAACATTTTGCATCTGGCTAGCTGTTACCTTACACAGATAGTAACCAGGCATGCCCCTTGAAAGCTATCTGTCCCAAGCCACAAAGCTGTAAGAATAAAAGCAATGTATCACTCACTAAATGTCCTCTGTCTCTTCTCTGATCCCAAGAGAAACATAAAGGAGAGACATATTTGATTTGAGGTATTTCATCATAACTGAGGAGCTCATAATACTTTAGCTCTTAACAATCTAGAACATCTTTTGGGGGAATCACAGGGGGAGTCACAAGGTGTTGGAGAACACAACAGGATTAGTGCTGGTCGAGGACATTCTCTTCCCCTGAATGTATCTTTATGGCAGAATTCACTTATCCTTATTTTTACTCCTTTCATGCGCCTTCAAGACTCATTTGCATAGCAACAAAGGGGCCTTTTTTCCCTCCTTCACCCCCAGTTCAGGCAGCTGGGGATGCTCCCAAAGAAAATACATCTTGAATAGTGTGACATGTCCCTGCAGTAAAGTCGACTGGTCACAGAGATTCAAGTGGGGTTAATTCAAGGAATTAAGCCAGGGAAATAGCTGGGCCAAGGCTGTTGCATGGGCTCTTGGACATTCTACACAATGTCTGCCATGTTGGACTTAATCCTCAATATGCCATTCACCTTGGTTTTTCCCTGAGAGAACGGATGTCATCTGAGACTAGAATTTCTTCTGAACATGGAGCAAGTTTTAGGGCCCTCAGTGATGCTCACAACTTTTAATCTTCTCTTGAGTAGAGGAAATGACTAATGGAAAGAAGTTTCAGAAGATAATCAGACAGAAAATATCCTTTTTTGCTGACAGATATTCCTATTTTATATAGATTGTTTCTATCCTGGTAATTATATGAATATTAACACCTACTTGATTGTTTTGGTTTTATTGCTCTCTGTTCTTAACTGATGAATTTCATGGGTATTTGGCAATATGATTTTGTCCCTCTTAAAATACAGCTTGTTATCTCAGTCTGTTATGCCTGTTCCAGAGCTTCCTTAAGATGTGTTTACATCGTAGCTGTGCTTTGCATTAGAGCAGCAGTATATGCATCACCTGTTTCATGGGAAGTTCCTGACAAAAAGGAGGAATCTGGGAAGAACCAGGAATACTCATTGCACAATGTGTTGTAGAGGAAATAATACTTGAATTACTGTCCAAAACAGCACTAAGAATAAAGCAAATCATAATGAAAATTAAAAAAAGGTGAAAATGAGGACAGGAAATGGGTACTGGACCAGGTGAATATTTTTTTATTTAAGACACAGGAAGAGCCTTCAAGTCAGTGTGTGCTGAAAAAGGACAGAAAATCCACGTTTATTTTAGAACAGCTAATTCCAGCCGTTAGTCTGATCTTTCACAGCTGCACTTGCTCTTTGCCAGGTGAAGAACACTTTCTTCAGTGATTTCAAAGGCAGCAGGAGCAGCCCCTGTGTGACTCACCCAAGTACACATGAGGATTTAGCATTCTGGAGATATTCTTCTTCATCTGTGTCCTGGTTTCAGCTGGGACAGAGATTTTTTTTTTTTTTTTCCCTTCTTAGTAGCTAGAGTAGTGCTGTGTTTTGGATTCAGTATGGGATTTGATAGGAAAATAATGTGCTAAGATGTTTTTAGTGGTTGCTAAGAAATCAAAGACTTCAACCTCCCATGTCCTGCTAGTGCACAGGTACGCAAGAAGCTGGGAGGGAACAGAGCCAGAGCAACGGACCCAAACTGGCCAAGGGAATATTCCGTATCTTGTAACTTCACGCTCAGTGTACAGAGGAGAGTGGGATTGTGAGAGCCTTGTGGGATTGTGGTTTCAGGATTCTCTCTTCTCTGGGATCACTAGCCAGGAAAGGCTGGGCATCAGTTAGCAGGTGGTGAGCAATCACAGTGTGAATGACTCATTTGTATTTTCTATTATTATTATTATCATTATTATTATTATCATCATCATCATCACCTTCACTATTGTTATTATTATCATTATTATTATCATTATAATCATTATATTTATTGTTTTAATTTTATTTTATTCCAATTATTAAATTGTTTTTATCTAAACCTATGAGCCTCCTTACCCTTACCCCCCCACCTCTGTCCCCCACTCCCCAGGGGTGGGGGAGGGTGAGCGAGAGGCTGCGTGGTGTTTGGCTGCTGGCTGGGTTTAAACCACAACAATCTATCCTGTCCAAGCAAACCCTTTGTCATGCAAACACTTTATACTATCCCTGTTCCTCATTTCTACCTGTACCTCTAGCCATACCCCCACCTCTTTGATCTGCATCCCAAGGTAGGTGTTCATGTGCCATCTTTACCGTAACAACATTTGTCTATCCTGTGCTTAGCAAGCTCCGGGGTTTAGACATTCCTCCTCTGCCATTCACATTAGACATTTACACTTGTGTAAATACTTCAGCTGTTGTTCACAGCTCCTCGAGGTTGCTTCTATCCTAGGAAAGAGCAAAGCTTTCATGGGAGCTTCATTTACGTGAAATCAAACTCCAGCAAGGTCCAGAGATACTGCTTATACCTACAAATCCTCCCTCAGTTATATCCCAAGACTATCATAAGAAACAGCAATACTTCTATTGTTATGGTGACTTACTTTTCTCTTTTACTGTCGAAGACAACTTCTGTTAGAAATAAAATAAATGTAAAGTATTTGGGGTGGGAGGGATTTCCACAATGCAGGAATCACAGATGTGCCAGGTGACCCCACTAGAACCGCAGAGATCCAGTAAACACCATCAGTGAAGCTGAGAGCAAAACAAGGTAAGGGGAGACAGTGGGGAGGTATCATGGTTCTAGTGAAATCCCTGCTGAAACAATATTGTAGTCAATCATCAAAAGTTCTTCAAACCCTGTTAATTAACACAAAATGGCTTCAGTGAAAGTGCTGCCCTGTAAAAAGAAAAACAAACAAAAAAGATAGGCTATGACTCCTGTTATCTCTTTGAATGTTCCGAACAGAACATTTTCCCTTCTTCCTCTGATTTAGACCTAGCTTCAAAAAAGCAGATTTAGATCCCCCAAAAGACCACAAAGACTCATTCACTGACCAAAGGGAGCAAGATTTTATTAGGTTGGGCCCAGGGCATGAGGATCCTCTTTGCCCCTGGACTGCCTTGGTGTCACAGCATCTTCAGCCCCATGTTCTCCTGCCTGAGCTCTTCCCAGTCCCACCAGCACATCGCGTTCACACCGTTGGATGTCTCTGTATGAGCCTGAGGCTGTTGCAACAAAACTGGGAGCAGCCTGCCATGGGCTGCCACGCTGCACTGGAGCCCTCCAGGCGAGTCCAAGAGAGAGAGAAGTTGGCATGCAGGGCCCAGACCTGGCCACCATCCAGAGTCACCCCTCCTCCCCTGCCCTACCTGGGCTGTGCCCCTTGCACAGTGTCACCTCACACCAGGAATGAGGAGAGGCACCAGCCCGCAGGAGTCCTGAGGATGCTCCCACGGTGGCTGTCCCCCACTGAGACACGTCACCAGCCCCTCCACTCTACCCCACAGGAGCAGCCCCAGCCTTCCTCCCCTTGCCAGCTGCGATTCTAAAGCCCCTCTCTGTGGCCACCTCCCCAGGGCTGCCCGTTTTTGCAATTCTTCTTGGAGACCTCCGCCTTGCTTGGCCAGCAGAGATGGCCAAAGCTCCATCATATATCAGACTTTCCCCAGGCAAGACATTCCCCCCCAAAACACCACAAAACTCATCTGCTGAGCCAAAGGAGCCAGAGTTTATTCTGCGGGGCCAGGGCAATGCGGGTCATTGCAATGGGGAATGCGGGTGGGTCGAGGGACTGAGCAGTGGCTGAGCAGTGCTGCGCAGGCTCTGTGCCACATCCCCCCGTGCCTCCATCCCCCCCGGCTGTCCACGAGGGTCTCCTCACCATCAGAGCCTTATAGAGTGGTCACCACAGTGTCCCCAGGCACGTGGCTGTCCTCCTTGGTCATCACTTTCTCTTCAAACACTCGGTGGAATGCAGCTTTCATGGAGCCTTGGAACCGGCACTGCCAGCAGCTCCCCACCAGGAAATAAATGACTGGATTGATGCTGCAGTTCAGCAATGCCAGCAGAAAAGTTGTGTTTTCAGGGAATAAGTTGTGTGAACTTGGAAGATTGAGGAAAACCTCTACACTGAAAGGAATACCAAGGGCAAAGAAGAAGACCACACTGAGCAGGACAACAACATAGATTTTCCCTGGGTGCCGTCTCTGTGAGCCACACTGGAGCTTGATGAACAGGGAAAGGTTGGAAACCAACATCATTGATGACAATATCATGGAAAATGCAATGGCTACACCTGCAAATATCGTCTCATAGCTTTCAGCAAAGATAAGGCTAAGATACATTGAGGAAACAAAAAATCCAGAGAGCGCCCAGAGCACCCCACTCACAACACCTGATAAGTACTTTGGGCGATGGCAGCGATACCAGATTGGGAAGAGGACAGACATACACCGCTCCATGCTGATTGCTGTCAGGAGACCCAGGCTGCTCAGATCAAAGAAGTGGCACAGAAGTTCAACTGCAAATACAAAATCTATGTAGAAAGGAATAAAATTATACAAATAAGAACAATTTGCTGTTAAGCTCAAAAATGCCAATAAGAGCATCAAAAACAGGAGAAGCAGAGAGAAGTCAGCAACAGCTAGATTTAGGAAGTAGACAGTGAAAGGGTTCTGCTTCATGTGGAAGCCCAGGAACCACATCACTGTCCCATTTCCTACAAGACCACAGAGGGAAATCCCCATACAGACACCTGCAAAGACCACCAATCCATAAGATATTCTTAAGCATTCATATTTGATATTTTCCCAATAGTCCACATATCCAGAAGTCATGTAGCTCAGAGAGAGGTCTGTTGTGATGGTCTCCTCCATGACAAATGATGACCCTGCTGTGAGTGGCTGTCTTCTCCCTCTCCCACCACCTCCTAGGAGAGATGAGGAAGGAGAAGGACATGAGGGACATCGGCGCTCCCAGCGCTCGCCATCTTTCCCTACGGCTCCACGCCAGCCCCAGGCTGCACCAGGAAGGTCCCCATCCCCTGCCATGCCCAGGACAGGTTCTCACCCCTCCATCTCCCACCTGACCAGCCCTGGTCTCCTACCTCCTGGTCCTCCAGGGAACAGTGCTGCCGCAGGAGCCCCAGCACACAGGGCCTCGCCGGGGCCAGGATTGCCAGGAGAAAGAGGGTGGTGATAGCTGCCGGGACCACCCTGGTCTGCTTTGGCCTTGTCCCTTGTGCCTGAGGAGGAGACCTTTGCCCAGAGAACACATCCCGTGGACAGGAGACTCCCCTCACAATCTCATCACATCGGTGACAGCTTCCCCTCACATGTCCCACGGACGGTGATCTTGTCAGTAGAAGTTGGCCACGTCACCCCCTTCCTCTCCTCCCCCCAGTTTTTCACCAGGAGGTGCCGATATGATTCTGTTAAGAAAGGCACTTGAGACTCTATAAAGTATCATTTTAAATACTATTTACTAGATCTAAAACTATGAAGGAGAGGATAGCACAGAAAATCTTATGTCCCTTCAGATGCCAGGAACCCCAAGTCGTGCAGCATCATATAGACCTCTGATCAGGCCAGATCCTGACCACTGAAAGCCTACCCCATTACACTCATTTGAGCTACTACAGGATTTTCTTAAAAAAGGAAACAGCTCATTCTACTGTCAAACAAAAAGGTTGGTCATATGAGAACTGTTGCAGCAGTCTTAGACAAAGACAAGGACACGCAGGCAGTGTAGTCACCAGCACCCTGTGGGAGCTGCCTGCAGGCTCTTCTGTGGCCATCAACCAACCAGGTTTGTCCCATGGCCAAGGGAGATGCACAGCATAGCACGGCACAGGCCTGGGACTACTCAGGATGAGTGTTTTGTGGATCACTTACTCTCTGATGTATAATGGTCTTCTGGTCATGATCTCTACGTCCCCATCGTCCAACTTCAGCTCACTGTGCCAGGGTCTTCTGGGTGTTGAGGTGAGAAGCTGGTGGTAGAAAACTTCCCCTAGCTCTCTTCTGTTCCTTCACTATTCTTACAGCCTTCATCACCAAGGGGATGGTGGGGAAGAGATTTGGTAGGGCAAGAGGAAGGCAGAAAGATGAGAATGAGTGAGATGAGCCAGGGACCATCAACCATGGAGATGAACCAGCAGAAACCCCTCGGAAGTCTTTGACAGTCTCGTGGCCTTAATGCTCCTTCTTCTTCCCACCATTCCTCACATTCAGAACCACCTCTGGTCATGCCCATCTCTTCCCCTGCCCCCACAGACCTCATCATACACCCGCTCCCTGCACCTGGGATGTCACCAGAATCCCCTCAACAGCAGCCAGTGATGCTTCACTGGCCTTGTCTCAACTTGCTGTGAGAAAGCACCAGTATTCAGATACAGAACAACACGAGGGCTTTGCCCACTGCCTCTAATCACATCCCTGGCATGTGTCTGCTCTGAGATTACGTTTTGTGGGGTACATAGTGCTGCAAATGTACTTTTATCTAGAAGTGGTTCCTGTCTCACAATCTCACCCTTTAGCATCACAGGGACCAGAATTTTCATTGTTTCTTTTGTCTCTGTCTTTCATAAGTTTTCCATCTTTTGAGTACCTCTTCTTGGGAGTTATTGCCTATGCTTGTCATCCCCAAGACTGATGTCATCCAAAGATGTCCTTTGCTTTCATGTGGTGAACGCATGTTAATGAACAAAGTCCACAGGCTTTCCAGTGTTCCAGCCTTGAGCTGCAGAAGTTGGGGTCAGACTTGAAACAAGGCTAGAGCATAGGCTCAAGGTCCACCCATGAGAGGGGAACGGAGACAGGTCTTCAGACAGGTTTAAATCCTGCATAGCTCAGGCAGTCTGGTTGCTCGGGCCTGACCTCAGCTGGAGTCCCTGGTCCCATGGGCAGGGGATGAAGGGCTGGGGTCAGGGCAAATGCTCCCCTTGCATTCAGGGCCCTGGAAGAGAGAATCAGACTGCCTCACATGGACAGTTTAGTGTGGTATGTTGTTCAGACATGCTTCATGAGATTAAGTCCCTTTATTCACCTTTCCCACTGGTTTAGGCCTATAAAAATCAGATCATCGTTGTCCTTCCATGACAGCATGTGTTCTTCTTTACCTCCACTGTGAAAAACATTTCCCTTTATAGATTTCTTCTATGGCTTTGTAGCATCAGATTTCTCACACGTATTGTGTTCCACGCTCTGACATGTTAAAACAAAGCCTCCATCCGGTGGCAATGTCTCCCAGAAGAAAGTTGGAAGAAGTCTTCAGGCACCAGTTTACATGTCATTAGGGGCACTGAGCAAAGCCCTCGTGCCATATAGACCACTCTATATGGTGATGGAGGGTCTCTGATGGTGAGGAGACCCTCGTGGACAGCCAGGGGGGATGGAGGCATAGGGGGATGTGGCACAGAGCCTGCGCAGCACTGCTCAGCCACTGCTCGGTCCCTCGACCCACCTGCATTCCCCATTGCAATGACCCGCATTGCCCTGGCCCCACTGAATAAACTCTGGCTCCTTTGGCTTAGCAGATGAGTTTTGTGGTGTTTTGGGGGGGATGTCTTGCCTGGGGAAAGCCTGACATATTAGGCCCTGGGGGAGATTTGGTCATCTCTGCTGGCCAAACAAGGCAGGGCTCTTGCCCAGAGAAGTTGTGTCTGCCCCTTCCCTGGAAGGGTTCAAGGCCAGGTTGGATGGGCCTTTGGTCAACTTGCTCTAGTGGAAGGTGTCCCTGCCCATGGAATTGGATGATCTTTAAGGTCCCTTCCAACCCCAACCATTCCATGATTCTATGAAAAAGGGTTGCAAAAATGGGCAAGCCAAGGAGGTCATCTCACCAGCACCGCTGCACCCATGATGAAGTGAAAGGCTCAGCAAGGAGTAGAGGCAATTGCTGCCATGGGAAGCAACGGGGTGGCTCGTCCATGGGGTAGTGCAGCCCTCTCCTGATCTTGGTTCCCTTGGCATGGAGACATTGCAGTGGCAGAGCTGGCCGTGCCTCCCTGTCTGCTGCTGCAGAGAGGTGGAAGGTGAGGACTCCAGGAGAGCCACTTGCTCCTGGAAGCCAAGCGGGATACCCTCACGAAGAGAGGCTAGCTGGCAACTCACCCCCCAACAAAATCCCCCTCCCTGCCCAGTTGAACATCTCCGCCTCCTCAGTGGATGGTGATTTCACAAATATCTGCGGGGTTGATGCCTCTAGATGGCAGGAGAGGGGTATGCATCACATGGAGCATCCTTGGTCTTCTGTCTAAAGAGCCGGCTGGCAAAGCTGGCCCTGCACTCCCAGCTGATGGAAAGAAAGACAAACTAACATCAGGTAGGGCTGCAGAGCTTGGGGAGAAACAAGAGCATTCCCTTATAAATTAAATGGGGATTTGTCACACTTTTTAATTCCAGAGTTAAATAATTCTGAGAAAAGTATGGGTTCAATAGTGCTGGGGCATTATGAGTGGCATGTTCCCAGCACTCATGTTCATGCCAAGAAGTTCACACAAGGTTCTACTTTCCAGCTATGCTCCAGGGGAACATGGCTTTTTGCAACAGAGTACAGCTGGATGATGATATATCGTGTCCTGGAGGTTGTGGGGGTCTCTCAGGGACCAGACAGCACAAAAGCATCCCTGAAAGCAGGCAGGGAATCTGCTCCAGCCCTGCTCCTATCAGTCCCTCCAGGAAAGCCAAGGGAGGATTTTAAGATGTGTTTCACTTTTCAATATCTCCACAAAAGTTTTGTCCACAGGGACAAAAACATCCCAAAGGAGGCTTCAGATTCTTTTGCCTTACTTCAGTCAAAGCTATGATACCCTGTCCTCCAAACTTGGAGATGGAGATGGGGGAAGCTATGTCTGCAGAGGAGGCACCAATTCTGGAAAGGAAATACTTCAAGTCAAAGAGTGAGATAGCACAGTGCAGCTCAGGTTGCCTGGTGCCAAACATCACCTCTCTGATGCCGAAGAGAAGCACAGTGGGCCAATGTCGGCTGCAGAGGTCGAGATGGGAACCTGCTCCGGCACAGCTCACCAAACACTCCCCAGACATGGCTCCAAGCCATGCCATGAAGCACGTCAGGGGATCACCAGATCAGATGGTCTTGGCAAGTCAGAGACACAAATTCCTGTAATCTCTTTGCTCGCAGCAAAGATTTCATGGTAACTTCACCAAACACGCCTTTCTGTCCATGACCAAAAAGAGCCTGACACATAGTAATTAACATAGCCAGGCATATGAGCCACTTAATTTTATAGAATTATGTGCAGGCTGGCAGGGAGTGGGCCCATCCTTTGGTTCCCCAACTTCAGCATCAAGAAGAAGTCCTGCCCTGCCTCCATCCTGAATATGGGCATCCTCAGGAGGAGCTGAGCAGCTCCTCTGCACAGCTGTTTCAATAACTAACCATACACTCCAAAATCCTGATTGGATTGATCTTTTTCTCATTATCTATCTAAGGTACCATTTTGTTACTGTTCCTAAATTAAATTTGGATTTCTCTTTTTGTTTCCAGCATGGTAAGTCGGACCCCAAAGTTTGTTGAATAAACAACAGCTGGGCTTCACTGCAAGGCTTGTCACTGGTGAATGGAGCAAGGCTGACTTGACTCTGTCAGAAAATGGCTCATTTGCCCTCATTCTAAAGCCTCTGTCTTGTCTATGAGGAGGACAGGTACCTCCAGAGCATGAGGTAGGTGCCTGCAATAGTTGGGACAAACTGTCTCTTGACAGTGCCAAGACCTCCTCATTTATTCTGGAAGGGACCTGGGAAGCAGGTGACATCTGTCTGGGATGTTTGCAATTAGTGGAGATGTATGTCACTGTAAGAAGCCTCCAGTTGAGACAAACCATGGCCGTGGAGCTGCCTACTCATGCTGAAAGCTTTCCTTGGGAACAACTGAGCACACCAGGAGCGCACGTCCTGGTAGGGTGGAGGGCTGAGGCTGGCTGCGGCAGGCAGAGGTGGAAGGGCAGAGGGAAAGACCAGAAGGAAAGGACCTCCCAGCATCCCAGCACCTGGGAGACTGCTGGGCAAAGCAGGGAGGAGGCACACAGCCTGACAGGGGACATCATCCCATTTGCAGGGATGCCTGTACTCACCCACCCGTTTCTCTGCCTCTTGCACAGTGGAAAGTTGTCCATCCTTTTCCCACTGCCTCAAATCCAAGGGTAACTAACGTGTCACTGATTTTAGAAAGAGAAACGATAATATAAGCCACGGGTGGTGGGTCACACTTTGAAGACACATGATGAGATTAAACATCTAAGAAGTATTTATTTAGAGAGTTGTTTTACAGAACAGGGCAGGAGTCTTCCATAGTTGAGAGGGGCTTTTTTCTCCCTCTCTCCCATTTTCCTGTCCTTTAGAAAGTAAAAATTTTCCAGGTTACAACGTGCTGTCCAGGGAAGGGCTCCCATCACCCAGGGAATGTCACCCAAGGCAGGTGCAGAAGGACCATGATGGTCCCACCTGCTTTTCCTGCTTCCCAGAATCTCCCTTGCTTGCAGAGTCACCCAGGCCACCAACTATCCAAGCTCCTCGTTTTTACCAGAGAGTCTTATGGGTTTAGTTATCATGGTTCTGTACCTGTACTGCACCAAGTGATTTTCATTCCAGCTTGTCTGGTGACGTGTAGCTCTGGACTGAGGGACAAGCCAAAGAGCAGAGAAACTTCTGTCACCATCCTAGGTCCCCGAGGCCAATGTCATCAGTAGTTCCTGGGTCTGTTCTGGTGATGAATTTTCTCCCTCCGATCCTCCCTGCCAGCTGCATCTTCCCAACCTTTCCCTTGTGCTCATACTAAAGTTAGTGCAGCCTGGTAGGGAGTTGCACCAGGAAACAAAACCAGCTCAGAAGCAATGGTTTGTTGGTGGTTTAGTTCACAGACAAATGCTCCTTGAGGGCAAGGGGGCACAGAGGGAAGAGAGGAGCAGAGAAAATGCTGCCACTACCCCTTTTACCCAGCCAGCGCCTGATCCAGGCTACAGAGAGTCAGTCCTCATGGCCTCAACAGGATCTTTTCCATAAAAAGTCCATTGTTTTCTTTCCCTCTCCCTCTATCTTCTTTCACAGGGAAAACCCAGTCTTTACAGAGTCTTCAGGCAGGGCTGTGTTTTTTGGACTGATTCATTTTAATGCTACGCCTCCTGTTTTTCTAGATGAGGGACAGACACTCCAGAAACAGATAGAGACCTCAGGTCATGATTGCGAAAGGGCGCTTGCTCACAGACAGCCCGGAGAAAAGTGGGAGGAACCACACGAGGCAGTTCCAGTCAAAAACCCCTTGCGTGCAGACAACCCACATGGTGTGCAGACAAAATTCAGTTTGCAGCAGAAGTGATGCATTTCAGGGAAAGCCTTCCAGGGACAATCCCAAACACACACCTACCTGCCCGGTAACAAAACTGAAGGTGAAGTCTCCGCATATTCTTCACACATGTTGGCACCCGCTGGAGATGAACACACAAGGCTTTGCCCAGGAATTGTTCTGCCCTGATGTGCCAAATTTTCTCATCCACCCGCACCCTAGTTATAAGCAGACACACCAAAAAATCCCACTGGCAGGAGCAAAGAGCCTCCGCTGCTACTCTGTTTTAACAGTGGACAGGGTAGACCAAGATCACTTTTGAGACTAGGGTAAACTCAGACCTGTCGGTAGGAACAGATTCAAATCAAAGGTTTAAAAGCAAGAGGTTTCGATGGGTATTTCATCACGCTGTCCAGTGTCCACCCCAGGCAGGATTTCCTGGGTCACCCAGCACGTTTTGTTGGGCTGCAGCTGATTTTGCTCAGCTGCAGCCAGAGCCTCACCAAAGTCTCACTCTGTCCCACCAGGTACCTCCATCCCAAGAGCATCTTCTCCCAGGAAGGGCCCGCAGAGGTTTAAACAACCGTTTCCAATGTGTTTTCTTGGGGAGTTTCGCCTCTATTTTGAGGGTCTGTTACGTCTTCAAAAGCCCTTTGGAAAGCAACCCTAACAGAGAGTGTGAACTTCTCTGCGCAGCTCCCAGCCAAGAAGTAAATAATGGGGTTGATACTGCTGTTCACACAGGTGAACAGGAGAGAGGTATCAAAGACAAAAACAGAAAAATCAAACAGTCTCAGCAAGAGCCAGTAACAAAAATCAGCAGTGAAGAAGGGGAAGATGAAGTCGGCCAGCAGGACCACAACACAGAGCTTCCTTGGTGGATATTGCCATGAGCAGCACAAGACCCTGGCAAGCAGGGTTAGACCAGAAAAAATCAGAATAAGCACTGATAAGAGGTAACTCAGGACGAAGACAATGAGCGCTGCAGGGCAGACGTAGAGGGTCACGGTGAGCAGGAAGGAGAGAGCCCAGAGAAGGGCACACACGAGCACTGGCAAGCACTGGGAGCAGTGACAGGGACAGCGGGCCAGGGGCAGGACGGACAGAGATGTCAGGGCACTGAAGGCTGCCAGGAGGTAGATGCTGGTGGTGAAGGCGAAGAAGATGGTGATGTTCAACACAACCGTCATGTCCCGTGAGCCCAGCCTGTGATAAAGGCTCTCTGGGCCGTAAAATATCACAAGGGCAATGGCGATGGAGAGGAGGAAGGTGAAGTTGGCCACAGCCAGGTTTAGGATGTAGAAGGTGATGGGGTTCCTGCGGAGGCGGGAGCCGAGGAGCCAGAGGACGGCCCCGTTCCCCACCAGCCCGCAGAGGCAGATGAGCAGCGTGACAGGGACTTTGCTCAAGTGACCGGCTTCACAGTCGGTCCAGTTGTAGTGATTGTCTTCATACCTCAGCAGCCTGTGATGCCAACTCCTGTTAAACACCGTCCCACCGGGCTGGCTCCAACAAGCAGAGCTGGCTCTTTCCATGACAGGGAATGGTGTGCTCACGCTGAAATCTCTGCTGCTTCTCCTTCCCCCTCCCACAGCTGGAGGGATGAGACAAAACAGAGACATGTTAGCAACTCTGCTGTCCCCCACACTAGGCTTTTCAGTTCTTTGCAGCCATGCCCCAGCTTCCACGTGGAGGAGCACAGAGAGAAACGAGGGGCAGGAGAGATGGAAGACAAGATGTGCGGAGATGGGTATGGCATGCCTGGCACAAGAGCATGTACAGAGGCAGAGCAAAAGCAAGGGAGATGCCTCCTGGCTGGCTTTGAACAGGACAGATCTGGAGGAGGAAAATAATAAGACAAAAAGATTGTCCTTGCAGATGCCAAAGAGCAAGTGGTTTTGGGGGTGGATGTGGTATGGATTCTCAGGTGTCTAACATTATATAGTCCATCTTGATAAGCTGCTGAGTTCCTTCAGCAGGACACTCATTTCAGTATTCCCCTATCACCTTTTCCCACAATATTTATAGGTCTTAATATCCTAGAAAGCACTATTCCCCAATAAGATTTGGTACAAATCGACCAACAGGTTCAAAACCAGTGAGGGGAGGCACTGATTGGGCTGAAAAAAAAAAAAACAACAAAACCCACAAAACACCCAGAAAAGTCTGACCTCCTTTCCTCTCGCAGCCTGGAGAACTTCCCTGGAGCAGACGCGCTGCAGACTCACATCACCTCGCACTCGCCAGCTGCCGTCCCCGTGATCTTCATGAGGTTTCCTGGAATTATCACTTGGAAAACTGGGCCGGAGCCTGCCTTGGTGAGCCTGTGCAGCGTCCAGCATGGGGTCTTTCTCAGGTCCTTTCACAAATCACATTTCTCCGTGTTAGCCAAGCAGGTCACATTCTCAAGGATTCTTGCAAACCGGGAACTATTTCATTGCATTTGACAGTATCAGGGTTCTGGTTATAATCTATTTTGGCTTTGTGCAGGAAATGACTAACAAAAAAGTCTCAGAAATTAGACCTATGGGAAAAGCAGATGGTCTCCGTGTCAGGTTCCTCTTTCATTTTGTTTTAAAGCAACCCCAATCCCAAAACCTATTAAAGCTGAACTTTTCTCCTGTCATTCCAGAGGCGTATCTTTAGGACCCTGCGCTACAAGCTTGGCACTGCTGCAAAACTTCTATTTCAGATTCAGATCTAGGTTTGCCACTCGTATACCACAATTTCATAGCCATACTTGGCCTTCAAATGCACAGTTTCCAAGAACATGCTAGAGGTGTATGCTCCAAGTGCATCCCAGGAGCCAATGGAATAATAAGACCTGTGCATGAACCAGGGCACAGGCAGACGGCGGAGAGATGACTTGGGATTTATGGAAAATCTTTTTTTCCTAAGGAAAGGTGAGTCAGTGCTGCTCACTTGGCTTTAGTCATCTAAAAGTTACGGTTTTCATCTGAGTTGTGTTCAGAATTCCCTCTATAGTCAGTCAGCAGCCTACAATAGTTTCCTCAGACAGGCCCATGTAATTTTTAGAGAGCTGAAGTGAGGTGAGATGGTTCCTACCCAGACTGACTGTGGTGAAGGGCAAATGCAAACAGCTCCCACCAAGCCAACCCCTTCAAGTGTAGACAGGTCATGATAAGGAAAGCGTCAATGTACAGCAGCTTAATTCTGTGCAACACAACACTCGCTGCCCAATTTACCCATGTGCTCAACAAAAAAGTAGAATTGCCCAGTGTTTCTCAGCTTCTGCTTTTGTGGGCAACATCCTGAGCATGTTGGCCTAAAATTTTGATTTCCAACACAAGATTTACAGACGTTGGTTATTTGTTTGCATGGGGGTCAGGCTTGTATGTGTTCAAAATAAGCTATGTTCTGTAAATGTTATGGCTCTGGTAGCAGTTGTTTCTGTGTGTTGGAAAGCTAATAAAACCATCTGGCAGGCAGAGCTCAGCCTCCTCAAGCTATCGCCTGCGAGAGCCTTCCCAGCCTCTATTTCTGCCTCTTTTCTTGGGTCTGCCCTGGCAGTTTGCTCCATGGGCTTCTCCACCCAGTGCACAGAATTGCACTTTCCAAGAGCCATCAGACCCTAGTTGTCTGTCTGTCTGCCCTCTGTCCAACCTGGCTCAGGGCTGATCACTGGCAGGACTTGTCTCTGTCCCCTCCTGCCTCCTTGGTTAAACCCCCTTGGCAGGGTAAAGGTTTGGCTGCTGACTGATGCTGCCAGCTCCATCAGCCAGACTGCGATGGATTTTCTCTGTGGCACCAGAGGAAATTAAGCCAGAGGGAGCCGCAAATATCGTTTCCATCCCTCACCATCATCTCCTCTGGTTTGGGGGTTTTTGAGGATTAAGGCAGTGAGCGGTCAGTGCTTTAGTATCAGGCACCAAGGTCCCAGAAGAGGGTAGAGGCAGGAAGAGTTGGGACATCTCCACGCTGGGAAGCAAAGTGCAGATCAGGCCAACAGTGTGGCTGTGTTAACCCCAGAGAACAGGAGAACAGATGAGGCAGGACATTCTGGACCACAACATTTCAACATTATAAAATAGTGGGCAGCATGAGGGGACTGTCACAACTGTAATTTTGAGAACAAACGGTAGCACCACACGGAGCCAGCAAGGGAAGAAACTGCAATCACCAATAAGTTATATAAAAGACACTTTTATTAAAATAACTTAAAAATAAATTTGAGGCGGGAACCAGCCCTGCCCCTGGAAATCTCATCAAGCGTGGCAGTGTCCTGGGGATGCCAGTCCCTCTCACCCAACTGGGCAAGGACTCTGCTCCTGTGGGTGCTGGACCGGGGTGCCCCTCTCCAGGTGCCAGCCTGCAGCTATCTGGGATCAGGCAGGAATTCCCATCACAGGGGTCTCACCCACCTCTTGGGAATCTGCCCTATCTTCAAAGACCCTCTGAAGAGCCACTTTGACGGATCCCCTGAACCTGGGCTTGCCATAGCTCCCTACGAGGACATAAATAACAGGATTGATGCTGCTGTTGACAGAGGCCAGCAACAGGCAGATCTCAAAAACAAAGTTAATATAGACAAAGAAGTTGAGGAAGATCTGGACACTGAGTGGGATACCAAAGAGGAGAAAGAAGAAAACGGCAAGGAAGATAACAGTGTACAGCCTTGCTGGGTGGTGTTGCCAAGAGCTACGCCTCAGCTTGATGAAGAGGATCACGTTGGAAAGAACCATAAAGGGAGTGAAAAAGCAGAAATTGAGAAAACACAAGGTTCCAAGAACCATCCAGCAGTGTTCAGAGTGACCCAGGTCACACACAAAGTACACCAGCCCAGCAAGGACAAAGGCGAGGGCCCACAGCAGGCTACACACGATGGCTGACAGGAGCTTCGGGCGGTGGCATCGGCACCAGAAGGGCCAGAGGACACCCACACACCTCTCCACACTGATGGCCGTGAGGAGATAGAGGCTGGTGCTGTACATGAGCAGAACCATGGAGTGAAATAGCGGCAGCACCCGCAAAATCTTTGGCTGAAAGCAGGTGAGCATGGGCACATGATATATTACAAGGAAAGCTGACGTGCAGAGGAGAAAGCAGGAGTCGGCCACGGCCAGGTTCAGGAGGTAAGCGGTGAACGGGTTCCTCGTGATGCGGAAGCCGAGGAGCCAGAGGATGGCCCCGTTCCCCACCAGCCCGCAGAGGCAGATGAGCAGCGTGATGCTACCGGTGACGATTTCGGGGATGTGTTCTGCAAAGCACCTGGTCCCATTGTACCCATCCCCAGGGACCATGCTGTCCAAGGGCGCGGGGGGCACTGTACACCAGGCATGGATCGTGTCGTTGGGATGCCGATCCATCTTCCTCCTTTCTCTCTGGTGCTCTCCTGGAGAAAGGCAAGAGATGAAAGCAAAATTAGTGACTCCCAGGTCTCCAGTACTGTGAATGTCCTCTGGTCATTCAGTCTTCCCCCCTCCTCCACAGGCTACAACATCTGCAATGGAAGGAAGGGAAGAGAAGGGAAGGGAAGGGAAGGGAAGGGAAGGGAAGGGAAGGGAAGGGAAGGGAAGGGAAGGGAAGGGAAGAGGGAAGAGGGAAGAGGGAAGAGGGAAGAGGGAAGAGGGAAGAGGGAAGAGGGAAGAGGGAAGAGGGAAGAGGGAAGAGGGAAGAGGGAAGAGGGAAGAGGGAAGAGGGAAGAGGGAAGAGATCAAGAGAAATAGGGATAGGCATAGGAGGGAGAAGTTTGGTCCCAGAGTAGCAAAGACAGACAAAGAGCTGGAAGAAAAGTAGAGGGAGAAAGAAAAAGGCATGCAGAGCCATTTGCCCTTTAAGGACTAAAAAGGGATGAGGAGGTGAATGAGAAGAATGGAAAGACTGAGGAAGAGCAGATCAGTGTGCCCCAGCAAAAGGAGCCCCAGACCCGTCTCACCAGGCACAGGGGGGTCCAGAGAGGGCAGAGTCCTTGCACAGCCTTGGTATCCCAGAGGTGTAAACTCCAGTCCTCCCTGTCAGAATTGCACGTGAGAGTTTACAAAGCCACCGCACCAAAACCATTCCAGACGAGATCTGGCCACCAGGAACAAGGCAGCTCCATGATGAGGTTCCTCCAACGGTCTGTGTGCAGGCTCTGGCACCTTGTCTCTTCCTCAGCTTGAGGCCAAATGGGCCCTGGGCCCACGGTCCTGGGTTTCTGCCCAGGCTTGGTCATTCTGAGTTCAGCGGAAGCAGCTTGCCCAAGAGTCATCCTCACGGGACGGGCATTGCAGACCAATCTGCTGGTTGCTTCAAACGCTTCCTGTTTGCAAGCCCATCACTGTGTCAAGCACAAAATTATCATCTTCCTTCTCGTTTGCTTCTTCTGCGCCTGGGGGCGATGTCCCTGAGATGTGTTGCAGATCCCATCGGTGTGATTGTCCGCTTTTTGCTGTCACAAAGAAGCCCACCAGCTCCCCGCCAACCCTGGGGAGATGATACTCGACACGGCGCCTGCTGACTGTCACTTCTTGTAAGAGCTGAGCTGGACGTCTCCGTCACCCTGTGTTGCGGGGAGGGCAAGAGGGAAGCGGGACGGTGTGACGCACCCAGCCTCTACGTCCCGGGGACAACGCAGACCCCCGGACCCACCCTTCTCTGGCAGTGGTGAGTGGGTGGCTGCTCCGTGCCCCGTCCTCACGTCTCACTCTGCTGAGGTTGCAGGGACGTGGCACGAGTCCTTGGAGGGGACTTGCTGCTCACGGGCGATTTCTGCAGGGCAGGAGCCTCCTCACGGTGGCAGCTCCATCCCTTTGCCCTGCTCCAAGCATCTTTTGGGGGACCAGGGAGATTTGTCCTGCTTCTTTTTCTGCTGTGCAGCAAATCTATAACCAACTAGCTCAGAAGAAATCACTGCAGACACCCAGACCAAGGGGGAGCAAATGCAAATGGCTGGGAGAGCGTCCCATCCAGCCCCGTGCCTGCACCTCCATCCCAGCTCCTGCCTCCTACTCCTCTTCCCCCGTGACTTCGACCAAATTCCTTAATAAAGAATATTTATTTAAGTCATAATGAAGCTGGACAGGAGAGCTTTGATGCCAGGATCTACCTCATCCAGCCCCAGATCTTCAGCAACTCCAAAGCCCCTGCGCTGCTGTTTTGAGCAGCTTCAGCTTCCTGGGGGTCATGGACTCCTGGCACTGCCAGGAAAGGGGCCACGCCGAGACACTTCTTTTTATGTTTAGAAGAAGAGTTCAACAGAAAATGAGATTAAAGGAGGGAGTAATAGGACCCATAAACAGGATGGTGAGAGCTCAGCCAAGTGTTAGGCAGAGCCTGCAGTGGGGATGGCTCCTCCTGACGTGGAGAAGTGCAGCTATGTGGCTGCGTTTCCCAATTGTTTGTAAATCATGATAAGTCTTTGTTAAACGTTAGCTGATGCTAATGTGATAGGCAAATAACAAATAGTAAATAATAAATACTACTAATAGT